TTTAATAAATTTTGGACCCTGAAATTCTTTGTAATACCAATAATGCTCAATTTGTTTGGTTTTGTTGCAGTATGCAGATTGCGTAAATCTATTTTTAAATGAAAATGTCACCATATATTTATTAAACAGGTTTGAAGTCCAACTTAGATATGGATTTAACACCAAAGTCATGGATGGTTTGTTTTATAGTATTTACTAATTTCTTAGTGGATGGATGATAGATACTTTTTGATTAAATTTTTTTTCAGGTTTTAGGACCATTTCCAACAGGAACACGTGAACAAGATTTTGGTGCAGATCCTCTTGAAGCATATGGTTATTATAGCAACTTTTTTATAATACATGATTAATAAATAAATAGTAATGTATATGTATGTATGTTTCAGGAGGTTTTTCTAAAATTGAATATTCAGAAAATGAATCGTATCCATCTGAACTTGCAGATAATGGTAAAATCACTTGGTCAAAGATTAATACATCATCGGATGGATCAGTTGGTCCAATATATATAAAGAATATAAGGTAATATATAAATATTTAAAAAAAAAATTTAACAATAATCCATTCATTTATTTCCATTTTACTAAAATGTAAGTTACTGCTACTACTATTATTAGATGGAATTTTAATAGAATTCCATTTGGTTGGACGATTAATCAATCTCAAATGTGGGCAAGAGGTTTTTTCACAATCTCCAAAGATGATAATGATGGCTCATCAATTTTTAGTAAAATACCGATTTTAATTCAATGTTATAATATTGGTGACTTCTATATAGACGGAGAAAGGTTGTTCGGTGATTGGTATGGGTACAAATCATCATGGCATGTTATGTATCTTAAACCTGGCGAGCATATAATAAATATTCGTATTGTCAATGAAACTCGAATATTTGGTGGACGGTTACCTCCAGATATAAAATTTCAATGTGTTACGAGAAGATTAAATATTTTGTCAGATTTTGGCGTCAAATTATTGGACAATACTATTGTTGTTCCTGATTTAGTTGGCAGTAATTTAACTGGAGAATATATGAGTGTGGCTATATTAAACACTTTGGAACATTCTTGGGCAATAATTAAAAATGTTTCAGTTGTTGATAGCAATGTTAAGGTCAATATATATATACATATTATAGGTATCGTACCTTGTTTTATATAGAAGTATACACTAAGTATTTCTGTATTGTTATATATCTATATATTTGTATGTTTTTAGATGACAGCAATATTGATTTCTAGTGATTTGAATTCATTGGAATCCAATCCAATAATAAACCTTGCTCCATCACAACAGCGTAATCTTAAAATTAGATTGAAAATTGATGAGATCCAAGAAAAAAAAGCAATATCTTTTAGATTAAAATTTATTGTATCTTCAAAATCTAGAGGAAAAGTCAATCATTGGGTTAAAGTTAGTGATTTAATAATTATAGAACCCAAGAATTTTCAAGAATTTTATAAATTCACTTTTGAAGACTTTGATGGTTCCATACAATATGGTAAAAAATATCTAGATTATTTATATTCTACATTGATTCAAATAGTTAAATTAGAAAATTAATTGAAAATTTCTGTTGATACTAAAGCAATGGCTATGCCACCTATTTCACCGGTTGAAAATGCCAAATGCCCAATTTTGGTGGCATTACATGGTGCAGGTGTAGAAGCTAATACAAAATTTTGGTTGAATGCTTACCCACAGCAAAAAAATGCTTGGGTATATTTATTAACTAACTAGAATCAAATTAAATTATATGATAAACTTTTAGAACATGAAATTAGAATATATGATCCGTTAATTCTTTGTGGGGATAATCCAATTGCCGTGTATACATTACATGATGAATTGATATATGACATTATTTATTTCCCTATTGTTTCACAGAAAGGTAGTTATCTTGTTTATTTAAACCAGGACATGGAGTTAAAGACTATTGAAGATTCAAAGAAATCATCGAAACACTTGGTAGAGGTGATTGATTGATTTATTTTTGATTTTTTTGAATTATCAATTTGTTTTATATTTTAATTATTATTATTCCTCCCAAAATATAAATATTTAACCAGTCTGAAGCAAATTTGAGCGAAGAAGAAAATAAGAAAATAACAAGATCAAAAAAACGACATCGATCTATTAAATAAACAAACTAACATATATAAACATAACAATATTTAATAATAATAATAAATGTTAATGTTGATACAAGAAAAAAATTTTTCTCATGGATAATAAATAACTAATTGTATGAAAAAAAATATTCTCAAGCCAAATATCCAATTGATTCATTGAATTTCCATTCATTATTCCAAAATCTATTAATAACGATTATAATTTGTAACGGGAATGAATAATAATAACAATATTAATACAATATAAATGTACATACCCAGCACCAAGTACACCACCAACACCTTTCCATCTTGCATCTTTACTTATAATAATCCAATCAGGCACAGGAACTCCAGTTCTTTTAGGAAATAATTTTAAAATTTGATCATAACCTATTGCATCTAATCCTGCTATAATCAATGCCAGGTTATTATTTTGATACGGATGTAAAAACAATATACCTTATAATCCATCCCCCAAGAAAATAATAAATTTATTTATCAATATTTGTTGAAAATTTTTATAATTAAAAAAAAATTCTTTTTTACCTATTCCAGATTCTTTAAATATTTTATTTTGAATCCTAAAAGTCCCATCTCGGTTGAACTTTACTTTTTAAAAAAAAAAAATTTTTTAAAATGTATGAGAAAATAAATATATAAATACATGTATTTTAATAATGAAATCACCTTCACTTTCTCTCTCCTTTAAAATTCTTCTTGTAACCTTATTGTCTAATTCACCTCCCAACAAGATTAAATTCCCTTCAAGAGACATTTTTTCCTCCCACGCATCACTTTCATGATCATCATCATCTATAATATCATAATCAAATAATATTTCTGAATCGCCTCTTCCATAAAGATACCAACTACTAGATATTTCTTTAGCCATATTTAAAAACATTTTGGTGTCATTATTTTTATTTTTAGAAGTTCCAATTATTATTTTTAATGATGAATTTGATTCAAGAATTTGATGAATTGGCCCATAAGTTTGAAAATTTCTTTCGCATTTTAACCAAGTCTCATCATTTGAAAACTAATAAATAGTGGTAGTGGTAGTAATAGTGATAATAAAATTAATTAATTGATAATTTTTTCAAAACATAATTTATTATTATTATAACTATATTATTACCTCCCAACAATTATTATTATTATTATTATTTCTTATAAACCATCCATTAAAATCATAGCTTGTCATATTAAATTTGCATTCATCATCAATAATGATTATTGACGAATTTCTAATTAAATCCTTAGATTTGAAGTTTTCTAAAAATTTGAATCTAAGAATATTTGTAGTTTGAAGTTTCCAAATAAATTTTTCATCTTCACCTTGGTTTATTTCAACTTCTATTTTCCCTAAACTGAAAATAATAAAACTTGTTTAGAAAATTTTAAAATAGTAAATAATCAAATAATCAAATGAACAGAAATTACCGATAAGGTACAATCAATTGATCGACTTTAATTCCAAATTTACTGCCAAAACTTGCTGGATTCATTAAAGTTATAGTAAATTTTTTTGGAAATATGATACCATTACTATTATTACTGTTGTTCTCAATATCGTTGTTAGATTCAGTATTACTTAATAGATGTTGATCTAAAAAATTTTGCATAATCGTGTCGGACATTATATTATCAAACCAGTGACCTTGATTGGCAATTTCTGAAAGCCTTGATAATGACAAATTAAATTAAATAGTTATATCATTGATAAATAATTAATCAATATATTGGCTAATTATCATATTATATAATCAATCGTACCCAATAGCATTCGTATTGTTAGAATGTTCATTCACCAGTCTCACTAGCATTCTAGAATGAATTGGATGAACATTATCATCTTCACCACCAACTCTTGCTAATATTGGAATACCTACCTAACATTGATAATAATAAATAAATATTGATAACTAACTTAGATATAAATCAATAACATCTATTAATATATATATATATATTTATTATTATTATTACCATGTTTGATGCATATAAATCATTATTAAACTCTGTAATTGATGATTCTAAAATCTTTTATATACAAAAAAAGTTGTTAGAAATAACTTAATATGAATGAATATGAATTATAAATATTACCCCTTTAAGAAT